CAAATTCAGCACATGAGCCAGGCAATGGATGTGCGGCAAACCGGCTAGGCCCAGAGCTGCTATGAGATTTCGCCCATTATCGCACACTACCAGGCTGGGCTTGAGGCTCAGTTGCAGCAACCACTCATCGGTCTGTTGTTCCATGCCCGTCCACAGCTCCTGCGTGGTGTGAGGTTTTTCCCCCAAACATATGAGTTTTGAAACAGCCTACTGTTGTTTCCCCCTCGCTGTGCTGAAGTTGGTGGTGAAGGTGTTATGCTGCCTGGATGAGGTGGTGGGAGAAATTCCCTGCAATCATCGGTGGCGAAATTACATGTGCCAAACTGCTTTCCGCCTCAGGCCCAGCCGCCACTACATTTGCCCAGTGTGCAGTTAGGGAGATAGAGCGTCCCTGCCCATGCTTACTGGTCCACGTATCTGTGGTTATGTGGACCTTGCCACAGATGGCGTTGCGCAGTGCACACCTGATTTTTTCCGCCAATTGGTTGTGCAGGGAAGGAATGGTTCGCCTGGAAAAGTATTGGCGGCTGGGAACCACATGTAACAAAATTCCTCTGTTAAAAGAACATATTCCTTTATTAAACTCCTCCCCCACTTCCTTTGTGCAAAGCAACAGCTAACAAAATAGAGAATCACTGTTAAAGAAACTACTCACTCCCCCTCCCATCGTGTATCCAATATAGTGAGAGAAGTCTGTAATGACGACACTACATCCTGTAGGGGGGGTTTAGACAAGACCCCTTAGACTGTTAACCAATTGTTGAATGTACACTGTATGTTTAAACTGTGACATATTTTTGCTTTAAGAAGGAGCCCCCACTCCAGGGAATAAAGCATTCCTTTTTTTCACTGATCAGAAACTTTGTCTCCGGTGTGAATTACTTCTAGGGAAAGCGTGCACGCATTAATCAATCAATTTGGAAGGTGTAGATAGACAAATTATCAAAGTTTTCTTTGATCCAAATCAGTTGGCGCAATTTCGAACAGGGACAAAAGGGTTATGTTACTAAGGAAGCCGTATAATCCCAGGACCGGAGAGGAGACCCCCAGAGATTGGAAAAAAAAGAGCCTGATCACCTCTGCATATGGTAAATGAGTAACTTACCTATATTTTCCCGTCTTTGGAATTGGTCTGCACTCCGTTCCTTCACTCGGCTTCCTGTGGTTAACGTCTTCAGATAGGTAATATATATATATGCCCGAATGTCCCCTTTTATATAGAACCTGTCACTTGTCTATCTACAGCCTGAGTCCTGAGTGTGAGTTTTATGTGTGAAAGTGTCTGTTTGAGAATCTGTTTTACTTTCTTTTGATTATTGAGGTCGGGTTCATAGAAAACACCTGGCGATTGAATTCAGGGTGCAAATACCTGGAGTTTTAGGCCAGATTATATTAATATTTTAATATTTTAATATTAAATCTAGGTGTTTCTTTTATTATTGCGTTCAGGTGTGCATAATAGCCCCTGGCGTTTTTTTTGTTTGTTTTTTTGTCCGATTTATATTAAAATTAGATCGTGGCGGTTCTTTTGTTGTTTTTAAGTTCAGTTTGGAAAAAAAAGCTGGCGTAATTAATTTTAGTTTAATAAAATAATAATATTTACATTTTTTATTTTTTTATTTTTTATTTTATTTTTTTTTCCTAGATCAGGATAGTAAATTTCCTGGCGGATTATTTTAGATCAGGATAGACGATATCCTGGCGTATTTGTTTGTTGAAATAATAAAAAAAACGAACAAACAAAGAGTTAAGTTGTTGTATATGTGCTTGAGTGTTTCTGTGTGTGTGATCTGAGTTGATTATTAGGACTTTGTGGTTTAATTGCATCTGTATATTGTGCTTTGGCATGTATATTGTGCTTTTGCATGTAAATGTCTTGTTGGGTCCCATATATGTTAATTGTAATCTATACAATCTGTATCGTCACTCTCCTATTCTATCTTTTGTCCTAAGGAGAGCTGTGCTTAGGCAATCACATGGTTAAAAAACTTTGTGCTTGCAAGTCTTCTCCCCCCCCCCTCCTTCTTGGTTGCTTTCTCTTGCTCTGACTGCTATGAGTATTGGCTACAGGGGGGGATGAGGAATGTAAGGGAAATCTTCCAGCTGCTGGCCATTAACTGGCCATTAGCTGTTAAAAAAAAAAAAAAGATCAGAAATGTTATGAAACTAGTCTGTACTTACAATGCATTGATTTGTAAACGAGATGCAGGTCAAGAAAATTTAGAATCAGCAGATAAAGAAATAAATTTGAATATGTTAACAGAAGACAAATCAGATTTAAATGACCAGTGTAACAAAGTAACAGAGCTGTGAAACTTAATTTGAAAATCCATTAACAATTAATGAAAATTGTGAAATGTATTCCAGTTTATGACATGTCAATGGATGCATTTACTAATGCTAAAATATTTGAGTCAAATTTGGACAAATATAGCCTAAATGACGAACAAAGGAATAGACTATTTAAAACATGGCTGCCGACTCAAATGCATATAGACTTATTGGTAATTTTCCTGAGGATCAGTTAATTAATGAATCTAGATTCAACTGCAATTGTAATTGCTAGAGAAAAAAGTACTTTGAAGGAAGTTGCTTTATTCTTAGATAAAGTAAGGAAATATCCAGACATGAAGGGCTAACACTGACTTGTTAGACGCAGAGAAAGAAGTGCAGATTTCACACACCCTCCTCTCCCCCCTAGAACTCAGTGTGAAAGAGCAATACAGATGCCTGAGCCACTCCCAATTGCCAGTTATTTGTGTTTGGTGCACATTATTTAAGATCTTGCAGATATTTGATTCTAGAGTTAAAACCAGCAAAAGAATAGAGATATGTGTTTGTTTGTTTACTGTTGTACTGTTTTTTTATTGTTTTTGTTAGTTTTTTCATTTTTTTTTTTTTATGTATGTTATATTGGTCGTATACTATTATACAGTAACTCCAATCATTTTACAGAAGGAAAAAACAATAGATTTATTCTTTGTTGCTTCTGAGGTTGATTTAAAATCTTTGATTTAATTCATGAGAATGAGATTTTAATATCATGACTGATAATGGATTACTGTATATTGCAACGCCTGGACATACACATGGTTTGGATATACTGAAGACAAAAGGAATAATATATGGGAATGGATAAGGCTGATTTCCCCCTATCCACAGCCACGCCTACTCCTAAAGTAACATCGCGTCCATCCTTACTATGCCCTTTTACTGTAGAATTGCCCGAATCCTAATGACCCATTCCACTACATGGTGTGACTTGTTTAAGCCTAAGATAAATTGGCTGATCAGGCTACCTGTATTAACAATGTCATCAACGATGAGTTAGCATCTGTGGAGAAGTATCACTTCAGGTTGTCCCAAATTTTCTTTTAACTTAAGTTTTAGTACATAGTAAGGCCCATGCCCAACAACTATATGCAGCCTTGTATAGCAGGCCACATGACATCTATTTGTACCAAGCAAGGCCTGCCTGACTCCTCATTCCTGTCTAACATTGTTGTCTCCTGCATAAGTGTAGATGGCTCTCCTTGGAGTAGCCTGTTAACTAAGCCTTGCTTTGTGGTTACCTTCACCTGTCCAATTAATCTGCTAGGTGCAGATGTCCTTCCCCCACTTGCAGGCCCCTATCACCTTATTATTTCTTTTGTTCCACACAGTGAAACCTGACCAAGAGGCAAGGGTCCTAGCTAGTTCCCCCAATACCTTTACCTGAATTATACAGGCCCCAAAGCCTGTCCAAGCTCTTACTATTCCCTAACAGGTTAAGGCTCTGGTGATGAATGGTGCCCTGGTTCCCTGAGACTTTCCATGCAATATCCCACCTCTCCTTGTGATGGACAAATTCTGTGCAGGATAGTGTCACCCTGCAGGGATGATACTCTATTTACCTGGCCACTCTTCTGCCACTTCCCAGGGGGGGAAATGATAAGACACTGACTATTATTTTTTTTAGCCTTTTCCTCATGATCTGTTCCGGATTTGCTGTCACTACAGTGGACCAAGTATCTCACCTCAACAATGACTGCACAAGGAGCTGAGCTATAGGCTCCCATCACAGCATGCAAGATCTCTGAAGGAAGACTGAACTCAGAGGAAGCATGTGGCAACTCTCTGGCTGACCAAGTTGTTCAAGAAGTTGTAAGTGCACTAAGGGAAGTGGACAGAAAAGTGTCTGCTGAAGAAACTCCCATATTCACCATGTAAGATCCTACCCACAGACATCAAGCTCCCGAAGGAATAACAAGCAGCTACTGACCCTGGAAAGGAAAAAAAAACCCACAAGCTGGAAACAGAAAGGGACAACCCTTAAAGACAGGCTGTACTTCAACAATCTCAAGTTCTGCTTGCCCAAGAACATATACTCAGCAGTGGTCCAGTAGGCCTACGGAGCATCTGTCCAGAACCCTCATGAACTCTTTTGATCAATAAATACTCTGAAGTACCAGGAATTGCCTCTCTGACCAACAGTTACTGTAAATCTTGTGCCATTTGTTCCAAGGGCAACTCAGGAAGAATGGAGGAAAGCCCCAAGCATCTAGCCAAACCTCATTATCTCTTCCAGAGGAGTCAAGTTGACTACATCCAGAATGCCAAAGAGTGGCTGATTCAAATATGCACTAATTATAGCAGACATGTTTTCAGGATGGCCAGAGGCCTATCCAGCCACCAAAGTGATAACCAAGACCACATGCTGAGTAGTGCACCAGGAAAGTTACGGAGATCACCCCGTGCATTCATCATTCCAGAATCAAGCCTGCCTCTGCATCATGTGAAGTAACATTTGTTGATCTTGACAACCCTTTTTGAAACTCCATTCTTAGAGAACAAAGATACTTGTTGAAAATAAATAAATAAATAAATATCAACAATTGGGTGTTTTGATGGCCATAATAATGCCTGACCACCTGCCATCGATGGAAAGCAGAATACCCCAAAAGGGGACCTCGTGAAACTAAAGAGAAACAGACATACTTTTTACCCTGCAGCCCTCACGTCTGAGGTGCCATACGCACAGTCAAAGCTTCTTCAGGATCATCTGCTTATCTTGAGTTTGTGGTGATATTAATATTGAATGTTTAAATGATCTGAATCTGCCAGTACTAGGGTAGCATGAGACAAGATTTCTAAGATTAAGAATAAGTAAATGTGCCCTAGCCAAGGTTATTATGTCCATACACATAACACATGACAATCCCCAAGGTACTCTTGACACACCTCATTCATGCTTCAGGACAAAAATGAGTACCCCTATAAAGGGTGGTTTTACCCACACACACACACACATATATATATATATATATATATATATATATATTAATGCCATAGGGGTGTCAAGGGGGGTACCAAATGATTTTAAGGTAAGAAACTAAGTTTGAATCTATTCTCCCAAGCATTACGGCTAATAAAATCTGAATTGGAAGGGAAGAGGTTTATAAAATAAACAGGAGACCTTTTTCTTACAGGACATGTATGACTCAGCTGAATGGGTAGATGCCACGCACATGACTGTTAATCCCCTCAAACCACACATTAGGACTTTAAAAGACATGGTAGTCATCCCATATTTGAGGATACTAGGGCTGTAGAGACAGGTTTCTCTGACACTAACTTGTGACTTGAATGGATGAAATACAATGCTACTAAACATAACAAGTCTAAATGCTATGTCTGCGGAGGAGTGAGGCCTCACCCAGGTACAGTATCCCTGAACCTTCCTCCGGATATGAAGTATGCGTTTTAAGTCTATACACTGTATTTAAACCTAAGCGGTCAGCATGCGAGTCATGGAAACTTAATACCCAATCATTACAAAAAATATTAACCCAGACGAAGGCATTACTATATATCCAGGGAACTATACTTGTTATGGGATATATGGTGGGATAGAGCAGTTACAAACTACCTCTCAGATGACCTTCCAGAATAGAATAAGCTTGGAAATGATTTTGGCAGGAAAAGGGAGAGTATGTAAAATACTCCCAGACACCATAACATGCTGTACCTATATTCCAGATAATACAGGCCCTAATGGTAAGGTAACGTTGGCAATAGAAAAGTTAAAGAGTTTGTCCAATGAACTGAAACAAAATTCTGGGGCCGCAGATCCATGGGAAAGATGGTTTGGATGGATGTCTGGATGGCAAGGTGCTCTGGCCCAAATAGATGTTGCCATTTTAATAACGATAATCATCCTCGCTCTTCTTGTTTGTTGTGTGTTACCCTGTCTTAAGAAATGCCTACAAAAGACAGTTGATCAGACAATCGACCAGACCACCCCGACCTTCCTTCACCAAGAGATTGACGACATAGACCGTGATACACCACATACACCATTACAGTCCCACCGCACTAAATCAACAGCTACTTCCTCTTAAGGACATTCAGGGATAGCGTCTGTCTCTACGGGCAGAAGTCTGTCGCGGGAGAAGTAGTGGACAAGCTGCTACGGGTCACCTGCGCAGTGAAGCGTTCGAGGCCTGTTCAGACAGATGTGCAAGATAGCCTTTGTTATGTTTCTATAGGGACAGTATTAGAGTGAGAGATAGTAGTTTCTAGTAAAATTGCCATTTCAAGGGGGGAATGTTATGGACAGATGAATTAAAATTAAATGGCTATTTACTAATGTCTATTTATTCTGTGTTCACTATGTTAAAACTGGCTGCTAGAGTAAAGATTCCCTTCCCCCCCTACAATGTGTTCAGTTGCTGTTTCCTCTGTAAATTCCTCACATCCTGCTAGCCTCCCCCCTTCCCATGGAGCAAGCCTCATGTAACAAAATTCCTCTGTTAAAAGAACATATTCCTTTATTAAACTCCTCCCCCACTTCCTTTGTGCAAAGTAACAGCTAACAAAATAGAGAATCACTGTTATTGAAACTACTCACTCCCCCTCCCATCGTGTATCCAATATAGTGGGAGAAGTCTGTAATGACGACACTACATCCTGTAGACTGTTAACCAATTATTGAATGTACACTGTATGTTTAAACTGTGACGTATTTTTGCTTTAAGAAGGAGCCCCCACTCCGCGGAATAAAGCATTCCTTGGTTTTTCACTGATCAGAAACTTTGTGTAACGGAGCTCCTTGTACTCCGACTGAGTACCCTCCGTTGACGGATGCTCCTAGTGCTTCCTGAGGACTCCAAGCGCTGCAGCAGACACCACAACCACCGCAGACTCCGCAACCGCCATATCTTGACTGGAGTCTCGCCGTCTTCCTTCCACCCTGGATCAGCTTCTGTCCTCCAGGACTGTGTGGTGAAGATCCCTCCTCCAAGGAGAGCGTGTCAGGAACAAGCTCTTAAAAGAGCTAAGTGACTCAAGCTCAGGGGAGCATGCAGAGCATAGCAATCCCCAGTGTGATTATAACAGCTCCCTCCAATAACGAGACAAGGCTACGTTTAGAGAGATCAAGAAGAACTGTCAAAACCTTTATTTCCCTTGGGACCAGCCAATAGGGTCACCACAATAACATTGTTGTGAAACCTCAATAAAATCACAAACAGTCAAACCATATCAAGCAACACACAGTGACTTATCACAACACAATGGCACATTTTTAAAGGGGTGGGGGGAGACAATATTTAACAGTAAATATCTCACCTGCCTGCAGAATTAGCAATATGCAAATCTACCCGAATATGCAAATGAACCAGTCTTGCAATTCAGGTAGTGCATATTGCTGTTGCTACCAACAGAGGGCACTAGACAAGCTCCATAGCCAAACCCACCTAGTTGGTAGCAAACCTCAGCAATACAAGAGAGCAGGCAATACATTACACAGTACACACACACACTATAAACAATTACATTACACACACCCTGCACCTATAATGGGTACAGGGTGACTAAAACATAAGATAAATAAAGCAGCCTACATAAATAGTCTGTCTGAAGGTAGACTAGGGGCTTTAAAGCCAGATACATGAAAGAGTCATAGTCACAGGGGAGGAGGCTGGCAAGTAGGCCTCTCCAGGACCAAGTGGCGAAGGGCACTTCGTCACATATCTCCCCTTCGGGGGGAAGACTAACCAGGCACCTGACTTTCTGTCGGTCAGTGCCTAAGTTAGTCGAGTCACCCACCGACCATAAGCAAGTGCCAGAGTAGCCCACCCACAACAAACAGTTATTAGAGCAACCCACCCACAGCAAACAGTGACTGCACCTGGGTATTCCTCTGGGGTGATGTGGCAACACGCTGCGGGGACTTGAGGGGCAGAGGCCAGCGGCGCTCTGCCCTGATGCCAACGCTTCTGCTGGGAGGAGGGGGGTGCAGGCCAGTCCTGTGACAAGGGGATCGGTAGGGCAGAGGCCAGCGGCCGTCTGCCCTGATGCCAGCTCTTCTGCTGGTGTAGCCTGCAGGACATCAGGCTCTGGACAAGGGACAAAGGGAGGGCAGAGGCCGACTGCACTCTGCCCAGCTGCCAGCTCTTCCGCTGGGGGGCTTGGGACATAGTCCGGCTCAGTAGCCAGGGGAACATGGGGGTCAGTGGGGGTTAACATCTCCCCTGTTAACCCTGAGGCCAAGTTAGGAGTTAGCTGGGGAGGGGAATTCGTACTTACCCCCTCCTCCTGTTGTCCCTGTGAGGGTAGTTGGGGATCTGGACAGGCTGTCCAGCATCCCTGTAGGTCAGGCACAGAGACCACGGTCCCCTCTGCGCCATCTGGGAGATTGGTGTCTCCCCTTGGTAGGGTAAGCTGCCGCTGGGGAGATAGGGTGCTGTGCTCCTCTCCTTGAAACACAGGCTGCCGCTGGAGAGGGAGACCGCCTGTCTCCACTCCCATAACATTGTCCTGCTGCTGGAGAGAGAGACCAACTGTCTCTGCTCCCTGTAGGACACACTGCTGCTGGGGGGGAAGGACAACACCTTCGGCCCCCTGGAATTCGCACTGCCGCTGGGGAGGAAGGACGACACCTTCGGCTCCCTGTAACTTGCACTGCCGCTGGGGGGGAAGGACGACACCTTCGGCTCCCTGTAACTTGCACTGCCTCTGGGGAGGAAGTACGACACCTTCGGCTCCCTGTAACTTGCACTGCCGCTGGGGAGGAAGGACGACACATTCGGCTCCCTGTAACTTGCACTGCTGCTGGGAAGGAAGGACGACACATTCGGCTCCCTGTAACTTGCACTGCCGCTGGAGACTAGGTGTCCATATCCTCAACCTCCACAGTTGTCGCTCAAAGGCCATTGCCGCACTGTTCTCAGCACTCAACTGGCGCATTACTTGGTGGACCACCTCGTTCGAAAGGTCTGGGCCATAGCAGACCAACCGCCTCTTTACCTCCTCAATGTAAGCGTCGTCCTCGTAGCGACGTATCATGTTGAGGTGCTCTTCGCAGGGCTCTATCCATCCCTGCTCCATGCTGCTGTAGTTAGGGACGCTGCACAGTGGCTAGCGTTGCCCTCAATAACCTCTCATACGATACCAGTGTCTCCGAGCTGCTTCTCCTCGCACTAGGACGCCATCCCACCGCTGCCACCAATGTAACGGAGCTCCTTGTACTCCGACTGAGTACCCTCCGTTGATGGATGCTCCTAGCGCTTCCTGAGGACTCCCAAGCACTGCAACAGACACCACAACCACCGCAGACTCCGCAACCGCCATATCTTGACTGGAGTCTCGCCGTCTTCCTTCCACCCTGGATCAGCTTCTGTCCTCCAGGACTGTGTGGTGAAGACCCCTCCTCCAAGGAGAGCGTGTCAGGAACAAGCTCTTAAAAGAGATAAGTGACTCAAGCTCAGGGGAGCATGCAGAGCATAGCAATCCCCAGTGTGATTATAACAGCTCCCTCCAATAACGAGACAAGGCTACATTTAGAGGGATCAAGAAGAACTGTCAAAACCTTTATTTCCCTTGGGACCAGCCAATAGGGTCACCACAATAACATTGTTGTGAAACCTCAATAAAATCACAAACAGTCAAACCATATCAAGCAACACACAGTGACTTATCACAACACAATGGCACATTTTTAAAGGGGTGGGGGGAGACAATATTTAACAGTAAATATCTCACCTGCCTGCAGAATTAGCAATATGCAAATCTACCCGAATATGCAAATGACCAGTCTTGCAATTCAGGTAGTGCATATTGCTGTTGCTACCAACAGAGGGCACTAGACAAGCTCCATAGCCAAACCCACCTAGTTGGTAGCAAACCTCAGCAATACAAGAGAGCAGGCAATACATTACACAGTACACACACACACACTATAAACAATTACATAACACA